AACACTGATATCCATCAATCACACTAAAAATATTTAGACTTTTTTGAGTTTGGGCCTCTTGATGAAAACCGGACTATTTCTTTTAAAAGAAATAGCACATTTCAAGAAAACATTTTGACAATCTCACCAGCACCACAACAATACAATACAATAAATCAAGCTTTCAGACCCCTAGTTCAATGTTCATACTGATGAAATATTATCTGATTAAAAAAAAAAGATATGAAGCCAGATCCTTAAATATACTAATTTCTCCTGGTGCCTACAAAGTTACAGGTACCCTTGCTGAACCTTGCAAAGAGCTGTTTGCTTTTTCTCCATTTTAAGGGGGAAAAAGACCAAAAAAAACCCAAAAAAAACTTCTACAAGTCCTACAAAATATTTCCCTGTCTACACATTCATGTTTCATACTGCTCTGTGACTTGAGACCCAACTTAAGCGTGCAGAGATAGCCGCTGGTGATCAAACGTGATGGACCACCCATCGTCCTTTTATTAACCAGCACTTGTCCCTTCTGTAATCCTATCAATAGAGTAATCAGAGCTGCTATGTCCCAGGGTTTGACAGAACAGCAGGACCTTGTTAACAGAGTCATTTCTGCCACTTAATGCTGATTCTCATTAGAAAGTAGGAAGACAATGTTTATTTGTGCGGAGGACGAGGAGGAAGAGAAAGAGGTGAAAGGAGATAAAAATGGGGAAGTGTAAAGCATGAGCTGGCCCTGTTCAAGGCTTGCTTTCTTTTGATGCAGTCGATTCCCATGTGACATTAAGTCTGTCATTCTGAATGTATCCCCTGCCATTTAGATGCTGATCAGATTTGGCAGGAAGTACGGAAACCTAGACCCATGATGATGATGATCAGAGTCTTTTGCTGCCCTCTGTTCAATCGGTCATTCCCCACATAGAGATTGGGAGCCGGGCAGCTTTCAAAATCATGAGGATAAAGGTGGGCCCTTAACAAAGCTGCTTTGCCAACATGGAGCGCAGGGACTGGAGGCTTTGCCCCCCAGTTGAATGTGGATTAGCCACGGAGACAAAGAGCCAGCGATGGGGAATGAAAGGGAGCGCAGCGGATAACATATATGGCAACGAACTAAAAGGAAGAGCCATAAATACTTTTCTGACAACTCTGCCGGGCTTGGTCCCCAGCGATGGGACCAGGCTACAAAACTGATGTCCCACTTCTGCCACCACTGCAGGGGAGACACATTGCCATGGCTTTACAGGGACCAGGACTTCACCCCTGTAAAGCTCCCATGGACTTTAATGGAGTTGGGTTTTCACTCAGGCAGCTTTACCAGCTCCTTTAAAGCTTGAAGGAAAGCTCACGTTCAGATTTGGACACGAGTTTCCCTGATGTGAGGCCTGATCAGACAGATAACAGGCTGAGTCCATCTCTGCTTATATCAAAGAACTGTTCTGGCTCCTCGGGAAGCCCTTGTAATAACTAATGTTGGGCTTTATTCTGGTTTTCCACTGCCATGCTGGCATCCCAGTGGTCCAGCAATGAGATCGGGATAATAATGCCTTCCAGGAAACAGTATCCCCCCACAACTGCCCCTGGATCCTCTAATGAGCCAGTCGGCATTGATGCCCTCAGCATTAAGGATCTACATTTTGCTCCCCCCGCTGAGTAGAATAGCTCAGTTTTTTTTAAGGTATCAAGATCCCTAAAACTGGAGAGACTCCCAAAATGGGACTGAAAATGCAGTGTCCCCCAAACGCTGTCAGTGAGTCCAAAATATGGAGAAGCAAGGTCTGAACTCGGAGGGGTCAGGCCAGTTGCTGTGCATCCTTCCCTGACTAAATTGTCCTCCCCTCGCTCTTTTCTATCAGTGATTTTTTTTTTTTAAATAAACTGCCCCCCAAAACTTGGCCTCTAATGCAAACTGATTGGGAACAAGACTGAACCTTGACATTCAAACCAAAAGTGAATCAGGAGCTAAGCTTTCCTAGCGCTCGGATATAAGGTCTGCATATCGTGTTAGGATCGAGATAGAGGCCTCTACCGTCAGGTGATGCCCTGGTACTTGCTGGTACTTAATCATTCAGGGTCTAATTCTGCATCCCCTGCATAACCAAAGCTTTCGAGCACTTAGGATCAGTCCCTTATTAACCAAAGACTATGTAAAAAGTCAGTTAAACTCGATGGGAAAGCTATTGATACCAGCGGCAGCAGCAGAGCCAGCTATATCGGCAGGAAACATCTTTTCCAAAAATTCCCAGCAGAAACAGAACATCAACCTACAAATCGGATACTGGAAAATGGGAAATGATATATCAACTTCTACCTAAAAGGACTAGTACTCCAAGAAGTAGCAACTTTGGTTATGCATCTTTTGCGGTTTTTTTCATCTAGATAAAACTACTTCAAAGGAAGAGGAGGCGCAGAACCGCCCTGGGTCAAAATGCAAGTATCTCCACTTTCTTGCAGAACAGATCAAAACCAAGCACAACTGACTAACCACCACCTAGATTCCTCCTACTCGTGGTATCAGATTAACAGATTTGGTGCATGTAGTCCTATTAAAAATTGCAGCCGGACAAAGCTTCCTTTCAGACAGAAGGAAGCGGGGGGGAGGAAACTGCTATTTTAAAAAAAACTTGCTAAGGGGAAAATGGAAAAAAATTCCAACCCTGGAAAACAAAAACATAAAGATGTTTAAACAAGGCACAACTTTAAGACTTGGTTTGTAAATGTTAATCTATATTATATGCAATAATACGGGAACAGCCGTACTGAAAGCAGGTAAGAAGGCTGATGCCCTTAGCAGATTTGAGACTATAATTTAGCACAGATGTTCCCATCGAACTCTGCAAACACACGCTCTGGAATAGAAAAACAGGTTAATTTTTCTGATTTCCATGTTTAATGCGTTTAATTATACGTTTCTTAAGGAAGGCTCCAAGATGTAGAATTAAGAGGCAAAGCCTAGTTATAGTAATCCACTCCGCTCAATTAGCACAGTAACACACCAAGCAGTGGGGCTGCCAGACAGAGTGATAGCATTACAAATTACTACCGTCAAACAATTTGCCAGGTGCCAGGATGTATGTAGTTTAGAGGAAGCAAGAGCAGAATTATCTGGTTTGCTTTATGTAATTTTGTCTCGTGTCGTTCGGTGGCATCGTTCCCAGAACTGCTCCAAACTCGGAGCAAGTCCATTTTGAACCCCACTCCTGGCCAGTGACCTGTTTTAGCAGTAGTGTTAACTACCCGCAATCAAACCATAACCTATTTGGGGGAAGCTTCTGAGTTTTATTAACAAAATAACCAGCTTTGGTTGCTATGAAGTGACTCCTACTAAAATAGCAGCTGCTCTAATAATAATAAAAAAAAATTAAAAGGAGAGGAATTTTTTTTCAGGTTAAAAATTAGAGGAGAAGAGGAAAATAGCTTGAATTTCCATCCCCAGAATACTACAGTAAGAACTGTTTTTTCAGCTCCCTTTCCCTCTTGCGCATTAAAAATATGTAATATGATTCACATTTTTAAAAAGCTTCCAAGTGTATGTTTTTAACCAAGGGCTTTCATGTGTTTTTATTTTAAGTCTTACTTGACCCACTCCATCCAAATACTATTGAAATAATATTGGGTGGCTGGAACGGTTAATTATTTCATTTTTTAAAAAGTGTCTAATGGAGAGAAAAGGCAGTTAACTCTTTGAAGGAAAGAGAGAAAGCAACGTCCCCTGTTAAAATGCAGGGATTTTATTTTTTGTTAATGGTTTGCTTTAACAGTAAATTTTAAGAGACCAACCTTTGCCACTGCATTCAAACTCAAATTCTTGTTGTATACGGTTCTCTCTACAGAAGTGAATTTACAGCTGGGATCATCAAATGAACCTATTTTTGACTTGGCTAGATTTTTTTTCTACAACAGAAAACCCTTGGACCTTTTTCGGGGGGAGGGGGACATTATTTTATGACCATTTCCAGTATAAAGTCCTAGTTTGCAACCTCCGCTCAGACATCACTGAGTATTTTGTTTATGTAAAGATAGGGTAGAGCTGGGATTAGCTGAACTAAAAGTAATGATGAAAGTACGTATCTTTTTTTGGACATTATCCAGTAAATCCACACGATCAAGTGCTCTGGAATATTTCCTCTCATCTTCACAATATACAGCACGTCTCACTTTTGCCCTAGACAGTTGCACAAAGCACAACCCACCGCTGTGACCAGGTTCCTGATAATCTTCTAAAAGGAACCAGATTATGCCTTGATTTTTTTTTTTTCCTTTTTTGATCGACAAAACTAAATCAACCGACAGACAGATAGTCGAGTTATGCCAGCGTCTTGTTTTTTAAACGGCGTGCCTCACTTGCTAAACTTTTCAGAGAAAAACCACAGTTTCACAAAACGAACATTCAATTTACCCCAATACACAAGAGCTACGTTAAAGGCTTTTTTCCCCCCCAGACACGGAATAATAACTTTAAAACCCAAAAAGTCTGCACAGGATTACACACGGTGTAACAACTTCAACTTTTTTTTTTCATTCACTTCCTACTTTGAGCTCATCACAGGCAACAAAGCGGGTGGTTAGGAATACTGCTGCAGCAATGGGATGCAAGGTTTTGACCGATCCCCTTCCCTTTCGCAAAGGCATGGACGTGCACCCTTCCAGCATCTCTCTCTCATGCCCAAGTGAGACGTGCACGTGTATGCACGTCGCATAGGATGGGAAGAAGCTTTTTGGCCCATGGACTTGCAGGAAATCCTTTACCCAAGCAATCCCCACGATCTCAACGCCAAACCCTTGCGAACGCCTAGAAGGCACAATATCCACGACGCCAGCAGCCCCAAAGGCGACCTCTCTGCACGTGCTGACAAGCACCAGACCAGCAGATTATGGTCCTGGACATCACCCGAAGCCCACTGAAGCCAGGGGCAAAGCTCCCTCCATCCCGGCTTCATCTTGCCCCCCTTCCTTACGCTTGCTCGCTGTCCAGGGTCCCTCCTCCGGGAGGCCCAGACCCCCGGACCCTTCCTTACCTGGGAGAAGTTGAGCCCGTTCAGTGGGTGGCACTGCTCTTCCACCCGCTCCACCGCTCCCGTTGTCTTCTTCATCCTCTCAGCCTCCTGGGCCAGGTAGAGGTCGAGCACGGGCACTCCTCGGGAGCGGATGTCCGTCTCGGTCAGGGAGTTGACCATCAGCATCACCCAGACGGGCCTCTTGCGTTCCCAGTTGCCGGCGATGGCGTTGAAGAGGTAGTCGGCGTACAGCCCCTTGCCCCGCTGGTCCGGGGTCATCCAGTGGGGCAGCATGAGCTTGACGTACTCCAGGTGCCGCTTGAGGCGGCGGTACAGCTCGCGGGGCAGCACGTCCTGCAGGTTCTCCCCGTGGGGCAGCATCTGGCAGCTAGCCAGGCCGGAGATGGTGTAGGGGTCGGTGAGGTCCAGCTCGAAGTACACGCCGGAGCTGGCCTGGAAAGCGGCCTTGGAGTTCTCCGGGATGAAGTCCCACACCCGCGTGTAGGGCACGTGGATGGTGCCGAACAAGTAGGCCGGGGGGTCCCGTCGGATGGTCCACAGGAAGGAGTTCAGGTCCCCCTGCTAGGGAAGGAGGGCAGAGACGAGAGCGGTCAGCGCCGCCCCACAGCCCCGCGCGTGCCCGCCTAACGTGGGGCGAACACACCGCCTCTGTATGTACATTTTCTCGCGCCCGGGCTGCGTGTGTACACGTCTCTCCATCTCCACGCACAATATAGAGAGAGGATATACAAAGGCGCCTCCGCACAAGCTCGCCTTCATACCCTACAACTATACACAGCGGGGCTGTATGCACAGGCAGTGATTAAACGCGCGCATACAGCAACCCGCCTCTGCCACCGCTGCATCTCGGCACCTCTGGCGCATCCCGGGGCGGGGAGAGGACAAGGGTCCGTCTCGCCCTTGGAGGGCTCTGCAAGTGCCCCACGCAGAGAAACTGCACCGGGTGCAGGGAGGAGAAGAGGTCCCCGGGGCGCCTGGAAACTTAAATGCAAGTGCCTACACGCAGCCTCACGCGGACAAACCGCATTTGCCCCCGGTGCAGGGAGGGGACGAGGGCCCGGGGTGGCGGGGAAGCTGCACGCCAGTGCTGGCAGGGCTCCGCAAGTGACAGCTCAGGATGCACACGCCGCGCGGGCAGCCCCGGGGCTGGCGAAGGGCTGGGCTGGGGGGGAAGTCGGGGCAAGTCTT